CAGCTGGGTGTGCCCAGCTCTCCGGTGAAGGGCGGCAGGGGTGCTCTCCTTCCCTTTCTCCGGGTGGATAAATGGCCGGCAATCGAGTGTTGCCGTGCCGATGGCCGTGAGGACGGAGCCCTTGTGCAAGCCCTGCGCCCGTGCTTGCCCTGGGCAGGGTGTCCCTGCTCGGTAACGCCGTGGGGGGCGAGGAAGCACGCGGAGATGTGAAATCCTTTGAGATCCTCCTAATGCAACCGAAACTCTGGTCTCCCAGGGTGCCTTTACAGGGAGAGGGAGCTCACCTGGGGCTCCTGGCCTGGAACTCCTTGAGCTCCATCTTTTCCCTGAAACGGCGAGCGAAGCGCGCGGGGGTAACGCGGCTGCCTCTGTCTTCACAGGAATCCACCTGCCCCAGGTGCGAGTCTGGCTTCATCGAAGAAGTGACAGACGATTCCAGGTAACTCCCGCACGCTTACGTGTCTTCGGGGTTTGTGAGGTGCCTGGTGTAAAGCCTCGAACAAGTGCAGGCAACGAGGGTAAAGTGAGGAATGCGAAAGCAAAGCTCAGGTATTAGCGTGAGTTTGGACTTGATACCGGCGGAGGCTGAAAATCCGAGTGGCCGTCGGTCTCGTGCTGGAGCTGCGTGGAGGGGCCTGGGGAAGGCTTCCAGGAGGGTGGGAGGTTCGAACGAAGGCCGCACGAGGTCCCCTGAGCAGAAGCGCTTACCGGTTTTTGACGCCTGTTTCTTTGGTCTGTCAGAGCGTTATTTTCTGAGGAATCAGGCTCGAATCTCAGTGCCTCACAGCACCTTTCCTTTTACCTCTGCTGGCCCCAGCTCAGGCTCCTGACTGCTGCTCCAATCCCGCAGCTCAGGCCGAGAGGGAAAGAAATACCTTTTCTCTCTAGGCTTTGGTTGTCGGTCACCCAGCAGAACGCACTGATGGCCAATTAGGGATGCAAAGCGATGCCCGTTCCGCGCTTACTGTGTTTGGTCTTGCTGAGAAAACTGCTTTATTTGGGTTGGGGGTAGGCGAGACGAAAGGGCACCGGTGGTTGCGTGAACCTGTGCTATCTGAGACTTGCCAGAGCCAGAGTCTGGGGCCAGAGTCACTGAGGAGAGGACTTAATGTCCCACTGCGTCCTCGTCTGAAATAGAAACGTGTGCCCGTCGGTGAAGGTGAGACTGGCGGGCTCCTCCGGGGCCCTGAGCACGCAATCCGTTGGCGGAGTGACGATGCTCCGTCTCAGGTGCCTCCTCCTGGGAGGCTCTCCAGGGTCTGGAGGGGTGGAAACCAGGTTTCTTCCGCGGTCTGACTGTGCGTAGTGTGCTGGTGCTTGAACCTTTTCTGTCCCTAGGAATTATTCCGCCGTGTTCAGCACAGGCAGGCCCTGTGTGCTCCTCCCTTTCTCTCGCAGACCGCACGGGGACTGTCTTGCTGGCGTGGGCTCCCGCCCGCGTGTAACCCCAGAAGGGGAGTGGGTTTCTGGAGGGCTGACCTGCTCTCACTCGCCTGTTTTTCTCCAGTTTTCTAGATGGCAGCGGCATAGACGACAGCCCGTCCACACAGTTTGCAGAGGTGAGTGTTGCTGTCGTGCGTGGGTTTTTCCAGCTGTAGCCATGAAGAGGTTTTCAGTCTTGGCTCCAGGTACAGTACGTGAAGGCATCTCCGCTCACTGCCTTGCGACGAGCACAGCTGATCTTCCCAAGAGTTTGCAGGAACTCAGCAAATTTCGAGGAGACTGTTGACCTTGCCGGGGTTGAGACCTGCCAGAGATTTGCTCACTGGGCAGGGCAGGAAAAGAAGGATGCTAGAAAGACAGGCTGGCCCTGGTCGGTGGTGCTCAGCCAGCCAGGGAGGGTGTTGCCTGACCGCCCTTTCCTACGTGCTCATCGCTGCTCGGAGTTTTACCAGAAATTCAGCTGTCGGAAAAACTTGGTAACAAAATCAGCGTCTCAGAATTTGGCTGCGTGGACCTCAGCGCGGGAGGTGTTGGGTGGCAAGGGCTGGAAGTGCCTGTTCTTACCCCGGTACCTAAAGTCTCAAGCAGCCGGGCGCGCGCCGACGGCCTGAGTCGGGCTCCGGGAATACACACGGCGAGCTCTGAG